ACAGACAGACAGACAGACAGACAGACAGACAGACAGACAGACAGACAGACCGACAGACAGACAGACAGACAGGCAGACAGACAGACAGACAGACAGACGGACAGACAGACAGACAGACTAAGCGCTTTGTAGTAAGTAGGATATTGTCATCAGGAGAACGTGTGGGTTATGCTGAATATGAATATCGCTTGCAACTAGCAGTAGTAACTACCTTACCGCTAATTCCGCTTTTTCCTTTTCCTGGACTTCTGTTCTTCTGCCTCCTGAACTTTCGCTATTTTCAGTGGTTTTTCTGCTTGGAGTCGAGTCACTTGTCGTCACTGTTCCACTCCGAGGCTAAAATGATATCCTCTAGAAATACCTGATGAGCCCCTTTGATACCTCACGCAATTCAATTCTAAGTACTGAGTTCAATTCAAGTACTGAGTCTCTGGGGGGAGACGGGCAGTAGGAACGGTTTTGTGCAATCGATCCGCCGCACGCGGCTGTCGCGGACCATTTGCCTAGTTATAACAGTTCTAGCGCTCTTTATACAGCTCAATCGCTATGAGATCACTACTTTGGGCATGACTCTACTGTGAGTTCCTCTGTTCCGGTATTTCTTACTTGCTGCTGCATTCTGCTACATTCCTTCGCGCGCGGCGCCTTTCTCGCCGGGATGCGACAATTTCGTTCCTACTGCACCACACCCGAGTTTGGGAAGCACTTAAGTGCAATGACCGAAAGTCTGCACGGCACGACTTCTTTTCAACAAGTGGGAATTCACTGTAACCGGTACTTAGGGTGAAAAACTGCTAGCCCCTTCAAGCTGGGTGGTAAAATATAAAAGGGTAATAGACCACAAACGTACTTTAAGAGTTGGTGAGGTGCTCATGATTGAAACGATCGTCGATGTGTGAACTTTCCGCTTCGCTTGCCTTCTCTAGAAGAAATCATATCTCCGCTCTTACTATCGAAAACTTACACCAATTTTCCTATAATTCCTCATTTACCCTTCACTTACATTTCTTTTCTTTTTGCTTATCACAAAAATACATACCTAATTTAGTGAAGAATCTGATATTAAAAATAGATTCGCAGCGGATACGAAGCTGAGGCAAAAAAACTTTAAACATGCTCAGTTTTGTTCCTAGGACATCCCTCTTCCCCTTCTCCTGATTTCCTCACTGTTCGGGCACGAATTCGGTAATTCGTGACTTATCGTATCAACCGAGTATAAGCCACTGCTCTACTTCTTCCCTCAGACATGTTCGTTTCCAATTACGCTACACAGGGAGGGCTGATTGTGATAGGAGAGGCAAGAAATCCACTATAAGTAGACATGAAAAAGTAGGAAAAAATAAAAAAGAAAAAAATAGATAATAAACTGATTTGGGAAAAAAGCAGGACTGCTTGATCAGTGGTTCACAGTAAGAATAGTTCAACTAACCCTTCGTAGCTCCAGCCCATACTGTAATATCCTGTCAACAGAAAAGAAGACGTACAATGCTCCTACGACAATCATCGATTTGGAGTGATAATTGAAGTCGTTGAGCTGGGTGAGGTGAAAGGCCTAAAAGCATGATGAGGGTTTTTATGCCGTGAAATCAGACTGTTCCAAATGTTCCAATATAGATATCTAGCGGGGATCTGTGATGCGATTGGTAGTTACAAGTAAATCAGCAGACCCTCCTTCGTTTCTTCTATGTAGGCTCTGACCCTTTCCCTTATGGGTGGTATCAACTCAGAGAGACATTTTCGTTTATAAAACGGAATATGTTTGTGCGTTGATTCAGAGCCTATTAACCTGAACCTCGCTGAACTAGTTTTAGGATATTTACAAAAACTGTTGCCTCAAAAATGCTGATTTACAAGCTAAACGCTGGGCTCTAAACGAGATTCAAACTCAAATATGCGCTTTCTTTCACCGTATCTTTGTCTCGCTACAAAGTCTCACCTTTCGGTGGGACTTACAAAAGAAACCTTACAATAACTTGAATCCTCACAGAAAGGCGGGTCCATTTTGCCCCAAAGTACGAATTTCACCAATTACCTGGCTAGAGAACAGAGTTCATAGACATTCTGTGGATTGAAATATAACACTAAGGGAAAGCCTTATTGAATTCATCATGATCACAGCAAAGAGGGACTTTGTTGAAAAGCGCTATCACCAGGGCTGGAAAGCTGGCCCTACAGCTTTATGAAAGAATTGAAAAAAACATGAAACTCTCACCTGCGGTAACATAATGAACATCGAGGAGCCACTGAGTGCACCGATACCGAGAGCGATGAGAAAAATCATGATCCTTTCATAAAGTGCCTTACTCAGACAAGGCAATATCAGCATGCCCAATGGGGCAGAGAATGAGCATGCGGATATGATCAGCATTCCAAGTGTCCATGCTGGAAACCAACTGAATGAGCAAGTTTCGTACGATCTCTTCAGTGAATTTAGGGGATACTCATTACCCACCCCCTTGTAGAACTTTTAAGCAGAAATAAGCGAAAAAAATCTCCAAAGTCAATCAATTCCATTCTTTACGGGCTCAGGTGGTGTAGCATAGCGTGGCGGGCTACCATAAGCATGGGCCAGGGATATAGACCAGGACCTCAAGCACACCAAGCCTCAATTCCTGCTGGGCGCATAAGTAGGTACCGGTTTTTCCCTTACGGCGTTAGTTTTTGATTTCCTTATTCCTTCAGAAGCTGTTCCTCTGCGACAGATCCAGTTCGTCCCTACCCTCTCCCCTGCTTCCCTGCTCTCCATCAACGCCATTGACGAAGTCCACCATAGTTAAAGTGTACACTAAGTGTTCGGAACTTAAAACAACAGTTATCTTATGATCGATAGATAGAAATCATTTCAGTGGCCATCGCACACGTACATTCACTTCGAAGATAAGCATCAGCGAAACAGCCAATAAATTACGTCAACAAAAAAGAAGCGCGGTTCATCAAGGTAATTCGGTTTGGAGGTGTCCGAATAGGCATCATTCATAGGTTGCGCGAGAACAGGAACAATGCCGTATTTCCAAAGCATTGATGGATTAGTTGCGGTGATGCTATGCGTACGTAGGAGTAAGGTCTGACAAGTTTTAAATCACCTGAGACCATCAAACAACTCCTTAGGCTATCAAGGATTGCCATCAAAGTGAAAGAACAGATTTATCGTCACGCATATTGATCATTCCTGACTTACGAAGGATGGTAAACCTTGGGAGATTGTTACCAAATGTTTACCCATACCATTTTCATTGATATCAGTCTAAAGGATAAAGCGAAAAGAGGAAACAGTTTACCAGCTCTGGCATTGACGAGAACTAGCTGAGAGCTCATTACCACTAAACCATGAAAAAAAGAGCCTTACAAAGTCGTGGCGCAATCTGCTCGAAAAGAATCGATTCGTCCTTCGCCACAACTTAAGAAAAAAAAGGGTTTCATTCTTTGCGAAATTCGACCTATACTTAAAAAGGCCCTCAGCTGCCAAATTCCAGTAACCCAAGGTTACTCATCCACGGCTACATGGTTACTGTTATACAAATGAGTTATGTAAAGTCCAATAACACATAGGGGGACCAGCTGTTTCCATTTTCGATGTTCACCTTGTCGTTTATACTCTGTAGAACCTAACACAGTGTTAAGTGGTGCCCTTCCTTCCTCAGTCATTTATATTGAATGTCGAAACGGGAATTTTTTGCAAATCATTGAATCCCTTCGAATTTGGGTAGGAGTTATTTTAGCTTTCAATATCGCCTTCATCAAATTTTTTCATATATCCCCCCTTTCTTCTAAAAAGAAGACAATGTCTAAATGGCCCAGGAAAAAAA